CGCAGTAGTGGACGAGGCCAAGAGTCGAGCGAGGGATGGGGAGAAGACAGACGGGCCTACCCTGCACTCGCAGACGTCATAACACGGCACGTGGGCTAATCTTTCCCATTTACGGCATCTCTCCTACAACATAGCACGGAAAACATACCCAGCTCGGGCTTGACGATCTGCCGGGCGAGGCTGATCGTCCCGCCAGGATTACTCCGGACTCTAGGTACAGCTCTAGGTACGCACACCCAACGTGTCTCGGCCCCCCTCCTCCCGCCTGCGGCCCTCACGCCGACGGTCCTTCCGCCGTGTCCTTTGTCCGCTCGAGCAGCGACCATTTTCCAAACAGAAGGCTAAAGTTGCGATCAGCACTGGCTACATCGGCGAATCATGAGAAAGTGTGCGAGAACGTACTCGAACATCGCCATGATCGTCCACTTCCGGTTGTCCGACACCTGGTACGCCAGCGACCGTAGACCGTAGAACACCTGTGCCACGCGCGGATCAGCCTATCTCTATTGCCTTGCAATCAAACGACGGACGAACGTCGTCGTCCACCTCGTCCTGCTTCCGCGGCATGCTTACGTGGCAGACAGTGCATGAACTTCCAATCGGGGTTTGCCCCGCCTGTGCCATCGAAGGACGCGGCTGCGCTGGTGTCGATGACCGTTGGCGTACATTTTCGCTGTCCGCGCTGAGTGCGCTCGCTATGGTCGGAGGAGCCGCAAACCCGCCGATGAGAGGCTGCTCCGACGTCCCATTTGACACGCGTGGGAGTACGTTCTCCGAGCTGGACGGCTTTCACCGCGACGAAGGCGTCTTGCTGCGCGCCGGGGTGTCGTTCGGGCCGCGCGAGGACGGACGGGGCGGCACGCTCTCCTCTCTTACGCGTTCCGAACGCGACGAGCGCGAGTCCCGATCACTGCCTCCGTCGGGGCGCTGCTTGTGATCTTGTACGATACGCCGGTATATCGACTGTTTGGCCCGGAGACCTTGTAACAGCTGAGTGATAATCTTGCGCACTCGGGGCAGGAATTTTTCGAGGTTCTCCGGATTGGTGTCTTCGGATAGGCACGTCTCGAGGATTTCGTGGAGGTTGTCCGGGACAGACGAGAGCTCGCTGTTGGGGTGTAAGAGAGGTGCCGGTGCAACGAGGCTTTGCCACTCACTTCATATCGATGCTAAACGCCCCGAACGCCGCCACAGCCGAGTTAAAGTCATTTCCGAGGCGGACATAGACGTCGCTGACGTAGTTCTCGTCGACAATCTGCTTGCTCCATTGTGTGAGAGACTCGAGGAGGACCTTGATTGGACATCAATGCACTCACATTCGGTGGTGGCCGCAACCTCTCGCTGCGAGATGAAGCAGAGGCGTTGGACGAGACTGATTGATTTGTCTGCCGTGAGGGGTGTGAGGCCTGTCTTGATGCGGTAGTAGCCATCTTCCCAGAGGAGCACAGTCAGTCGAGCCACGAGAGAGCGGGAATGAGACGACGAGATATACAGAAAGTAGAGAGGAATGTCTTCGACGTTGAGTTCAATGCGCGAGGCAGCGAGATGCGCCTGATGCGCCTGCTGCGCCATGTGCATGCGCATGGCCTCCGGCGAGCTAGCATAGCGGGGGTCCGCGCGAGGGTCTGCACGGGGCTCCAGGACGACCTCGCGATCGTACTCGCGCGCAGGGTCGTACCGTCTGCCCGCCGGCTCATGCGACATCTCGTGCATCATCGGACGCGGCGGGGACGCACGGCCACTCGTCGGGCCCCCGGGGCCAGCCCACGCGTCCCAGTGCTGTTGCGGGTACCCCAGGTGGGCGCGCGGGGACGCCTCGGACGGGCTGCGGTCGCGGGCCGAGCGCGAGCTGTTGCGGCGCTGCGGGGCCACGGGCGGCGAGTGCGGACGCGACTGGTAGAACGGCGGCTGCGGGTGCCCGTACTCCATTGGCGGGCGGCCGCGGCGCTCGCGCTCCCACTCATTCCCCTCCATCATGCGCCTGCTGTTCCATCACTGCTCCTCCCGAGGGTACGGGGGAGGCGACCGCCTGGGGCCGCCTGAGACCTGTGGGGGACCCAGAGGGGGGCGCTCACCGAAGTTCGGCATCATGTGGCCTGCGGTGGAACGAGAGCGGGCATGTGGCGGGGGAGATGCGGACGTCGACGGCACGCGCATGGGGTGAAACGGGGCGTCATGAGGGTGCTGGGGGTGCGCGGAGTGGCGGTGGGTGTCAGGAGGACCCTGCGTCTGCGGGGCGGAGGTCGGACGCGACGAGACGAGGCGAGCACGCACCGGTGCTCGTCTCGTCGCAGGTGGAGGGCGAGGGCGAGGGTGGAGACGGCGAGAGGCGGGCGACGAGCCGAGCACGTTCGCGTGCTCGACTTGTCGCGGTTGCGGGTCGTGGGTGAGAGCGGCGGGTGTGGCGGGTGTCAGAGAGGTCGGACGCGGCGAGACGAGCACGCACAGATGCTCGTCTCGTCGCACAGAGGGCGGGGGGTGGAGATGGAGATGGAAGAGGCAGCGGGGAGGGACGGGCGACGAGCCGAGCACATTCGAGTGCTCGACTCGTCGCGGTTGTGGTCGTTGCCGCGTTGGCGGGTAGGTCGCGGGAGGTGCGCGGCCGCGTTGGCGGGCAGGAGCGAGGTTGGACGCGGTGAGACGAGCACGCACGGGTGCTCGTCTGGTCGCAGAGGGTGGGGAGTGGGTGGAGGTGGTGGAGGTGGTGGAGGCGGGGGGAGACGTGCGACGAGCCGAGCACGCTCGGGTGCTCGACTCGTCGCGGTTGTGGGTCATGGGCGAGACCGGTGGCGTTGGCGAGACCGGCGGCGTTGGCGGGCGGGAGAAAGGTAGAGTGCGGCGGCGTTGGTGGCATAGAGGGTGGGTGTCGGTCGTGGCGGCGAGGACAGGCGGGCGACGAGCCGAGCACAGCCGTGTGCTCGACTCGTCGCGGTGGAGGGTGGCGGCCGAGCGTGGGCGAGGGCAGGCGTGTGAGGTTCGCCACGGAGGGTGGGCGGAGGTCGTGGCGGCGGAGAGAGGAGGGCGACGAGCTGAGCACGCTCGGGTGCTCGGCTCGTCGTGGTTGCGGTCATGGCCGAGCGTGGCCGAGCGGGTGGGTGGGGCGGGGGTCATGCGCGGCCGCGTTGGCGAGCGGGAAAGAGGGCCAGCGGGGCGAGACGAGCACGCGGGTGTACTTGTCTTGTCGCAGAGGGAGGGTGGGGTGGTGGCGGCGGCGGCAGGGAGATCCGTCTGACGAGCCGAGCAGCTCTTTTCGTCGCAGAGGGAGGGCGGGAGAATGTGGGGGCGGAGAGAGGCGGGAGACGAGCAACGTGTAAAATCTGTGTTTCTGTGCGCGACGCATCTAAAATACGGCACTGTGAGCGCGATTCGCGTCAGCGCAAGCTAGGCACCCGCCTCAAGCAGGATCTGACCTGTATCTGTTGCATAATACAGTTTTCGCATATGCGAGACCGTGCCGTGCCGTGCAGGACCTGTCGGATGCTGCTGTGGGGAGTCAATTCCCTGGACACGGCATTGCGGGCGCAGGAAATACGGTATTGGTGCGCACGCAGCGTCAGCAGCATCGTATTCGAGGCCTATGGGATACTCTATGAGTGCTAGAGCCGGGTGAATCAATGTACGCAGGTGATGACCGTGAAGTTCGAGCGGGAAAGCCGCACCTCGAGCGACTTCCTGTAGAGCCGGCAGCAGTCGTTCTTGCCCATGAGTAACGCAACAGTGCGGATCGTGCCCGCATGCGAGCTGCTCAGACACCCTGTACATCTTCTTGTTCAAATTGTCCTTGAGCACGACGACGACGCGGAGACGGATGTAGCTGGCAAACACGAGCCCAGGCGTACACGCGATACCGACAATGCTGAGCTGCCAGTTGACCGAGAGCCCGAGGACGGAGCCGATGATGAGAATGGAGACATCCTAGACGGTTGTGCTGAGGGGGAGGTGGCGGTCCAGCGGGCGAGAGGTCACTAATGGAGTGGCTGAACGAGGTTCAGCCACCGTCAGTTTCGAGTCCAGCTCGACCTGGTCACTTCATATTAAAACTCCGCTCGGAATGCCCTGCGAACATTTTGACGACCGACCACTCGGAGCTCGTTTGGGACAAACAAAGCCAAAGTAAATGGCACAACGACGCGATTTCGCGTCGTCGTGCCATTTACTTTGGCCGTGTTTGTTCCCGGTGGCGTGCGGTGCAGGACGAATGCGCGTACAGCGCGTCTGCCTCCTGTCTTGCTCCGCCACCTCCCGACTCTCCTTGACAGCAACAACAGCAGCTCTACAACCTGCGCAAAGGTGAAATCAATGTTATTAGAGGAATTGACGCTGACCTTGAGCTTCAGAGACTGTAGCTATATCGCTCAGACTAGGATACCTCCGTAGCACACGCGCACTCGGTCCTGGTTTTCAATCAGTACGCATGTCTTCTCTGAGCGAGGATTGAACTGACGACTTTTACAGTGGAACAACTGGAGCTCGTACACAGGAATCCAAACTTCCCAAAGGTGTATACGGTGACCACGCACTCGAAGGCACCTCAGTATGGTGCCCACCAAGGCAAGATATACATCGTAACAATGGACACAACACGTCCTGCTCTTCGCAAATTCAACGCCTTTCTGGACACGGCGAAGATGCCGGAGGGCACGGCAGAAGGGATTGCAACTTCCGGTAAGTCTATGTTTATTTATGTTTAATCCGCTACTTCACGCATGTTTTCTAGGTTTTGTTCCCTTTGAGGAGGGCGACTGCATCATCATGAGAGACGCGAACGGAGACGGCGCAGAGGAGTCTGATGTACTTATCAGCTGGCGTACTCCGGAGTGAGTATCATAATATATTTTGTAAATCTTTTTCTGAGTGCGCGTAGAGCGTGCTTTTGACCCGGACGATGTTGCGGAGCTATGGGCGTCCAG